AGGCTCAGAGGGAACCGGGCACAGCTGGAAAAGTGGTTTCAGAGTGTGGGGTGGGCTCTGCGAGGACCTCTCGGTGATGACAGCCATGCTACACAGTTCCCATCTCCTCCGTGTGGTTTCCGGGGTGACAGGGCTGAACGACAGAGTAAAGGTTTGCTATTCCGGAAAGCTCAGACTGAGACTTCGAACAGGTGCACGGTGTCCCCAGGGCCAACCGTTTACTCATAATTCAGTCATTCCCTTGACAATATCTATCGAGCCTCTACTCTGTGTGAGACACTGGGCCAAACCCGGGAGTACCGTGGAGAGCTCGGTGCGACCTTTGAGCCATCAATCCCCCTCCGTGGTTTCCCGGAGGACCAGATCACACGAGGCGTTCTCTTTCCCATAAGAAACACTTGCTATTTTGGAACACGACAATCCAGGTTTCAGCTGTTGTTCGTATTCTAAGTGATTCCCCTTAAACCATGTTCTCTCTGAACATTTTTGCCGCGTTTTTCCAGTCCACTAACCATGCGCAAGCCGCACTTTCCCGTTCATGCCAGTTTCTCCTGGCATCTCCCTCTCTCGGCATTTGAAACGGGCCGTCACCGTATACGAAAATAACGTTACAGGCAACTCTTATCCTGCCGTCTTTAGCTCTGCTGTCGAATCAACCAACAGGATGCAGGTCATTCCAACTGCACGTTGTAGCTCGTTGGATGTTCCACTTCTGCGACTTTCATTTAGATGCCATTCTTCTCGTCTGTAGTTGAAATTAAACAGTGAAGGCCATGTGTTACATGTATCTCTCTATTTCTATATCTACATCTATTTCTTCTGATATATCTTTATATCTTGTTTCTTTTTTATTATGGCCGTAATACAAAAACACCGTAATACGATAAGTTTACACGTTTCAGCTTACATGTCTGGCCTGCTATTTCCCATCTGTGCGTTTATAGCCAGAGTTTTAAAGATGGGGGAGGGACATGAACTAAACAAGAGAAAGACAGATGAAACTAATAAGAAGGCAAGATATGTAAAAATGTGAGGGAGGGGGGAAACCAATAAAAACTCAAATATATAACTTTAGCATTTGGAAATACCCACATTGAAATAAAAGTAGTAATGTGTATACCAAAGCCTTAAATAACTAGAGAAGCGGTGCATCTGCTAACCTAAAGTGATCTTACACTTCGGGGGTGACTGGCCCAGGAAATTTGCTCTTTGTCATTTTGACTTGGGTTTGAAAATGGACCTGGGCTGCATTCCAGCTCAAAGAGCCGTTCGCTTCCAAAGATGCCTAAATTGTCCCAAGGAGCTCATTCTGGCAGTGGATTATTTGTGTTTGGCTGGGCATCCTAACAGCAAAAGCTGTCTGCTCTGGCAAGCAAGGGCTGTGGCAGGAATTAGAATTACCATCCCCAGTGTTTTGTCTTCGTGAGGCTATTTTTCAGAAAAGCAGTCCCCAACCCCTCCTTTAGAAAGTGACACTGCGCAAGTGTTGTGCAGGTGGTTTTTTGAGCTCATCAATAGCTTCCCGTGGCGGGGTGGCCGGTTTTATATATTACGGGCAAATTTTAAACCAATAAGAATCAGCAACAGATTTTTTCCCAAAACTAAAGCTGTCTAAATGGCATATTCGCCTCTTCTGTATCAGAGGTAAGCAACAGTTATTGGTTGCCTGGGGCCAAGTAAGAATGGGAGGTTTTAAATTAAAAAATAACAGTGGTATAAAAAATTCTGGTTTTCTTTCTGGGATGTAGAGCGTAGGTACTTGAAGAGGCAATCCTTGTTTATCTACACGACTGTCAGTGCCTGCCGTGCGACGCTCCCACTCGTGGGAGACGGGACTGAGTTTGGGTACCCTTCGTCAGGAGCACCCCTAATATATTGTAGATGATCAGATATTAATGAGATGCGCAGATTAACTTATAACCTGGAATTAAGTGAGTCTTCATTTATTATATTGGAGGGGTTCAAAATTAAGCATACAGGAGGATACACAGGAATGTAGGCATAAAATATTAGACTTCCGTTTCTATTTTTATCTCATTTACAGATCTAGTTAACATTAAATTATACTACCACAGTGTTACACATATATAATTTAGCACAAATAACTTAGACATATGTTGAGAGCGCATGTTCAAAATACTTTTGCCGATGGAGGATGTGATCAAAAGCCTTTGGGTCCTTGTTTCACTACATCGATTCACCATAAGTAGTCTCACCTGCTTCACAGGTATGAATGAAATCTATTTAATTTGATTTTTGAAAGAACATGGTAGGTAGACTATGAATAGACTTTTACCATTGAAGGAAAGAGAGAAGAATATACTAGCGCTGGTGACGGACGTTTCTTCCTGTTTAATCCTCACAACAACCCTGTGAGGTCAGTATCTCCATTTTATCTTTGATGAAACAGAATGAGTTATAGAGAATAGGTATCATCTGGTTGTGTGTGTGTGTGTGTGTGTGTGTGTGTGTGTGTGTGAGAGAGAGAGAGAGAGAGCGAGAAGAGAGAGAGAGAGTGGGTGGTTGGTATGGTAGAATGCACCAATGAAATCATCTAGACCTGTTTGGGAAGGTTATTAATTATCAGTTCAATTTTTAAAATACGCGTAGGCCTATTCATATTGTTTCTCCTTGTGTGAGTTTTGGTAGATTGCTTCTTTTAAGGAATCGGTCCATTTCATCTCAGCTATCAAATTCATGGTCAACTGTTCCTAATACTTCTCTATTTCTAATCTTTTAATGTCCATGGTATCAGTAGTAATGTCCCATCTTTTTAGTAATTATTAGTAATTTGAGTCTTCTCCCCTTTTTCTTAGTTAGACTGGCTCGGTGTTTATTAATTTTATTGATCTTTTCAAAGAACCAGCTTTTAGTTTTGTTAATTTTCTCTATTTCCTGTTTTCAATTTCGCGACTTTTGCTCTGATTTTATTATTTCTTCTTTTCACTTGGATTTCATTTGCTTTTTTTCTAGTTTCCTAAAATGGAAGCTCAGATTCTTGATTTTAGATCTTTCTTTTCTACTATAATCATTCAATGAATTTAAAGTATATATAATCTGAATATATTTATATCCAAAGTAATTTGAAATAAATGTAAACAACAAAAATTGAAATATACATTTTAAAAAATAACTTACTTTAAATATTCAAAATGATCTATTAAAATGAAAACTAAATATAATTAATAAATATCAAAAACTTAAACTAAGATAGTTTAAATAAAACTAACCATTTCATTTACCTTTTTTGAAAATTAAATTAATTATTGTTATATGTATTTTTTTAAACTAAAACTATTCACAGTTCTAGGTTCATCAAGTGCCAACATAAAATAATCGCTATCATGCATCACACATATGCTTAAGATTCATACACTGAAATTTAAGAGTGATGTGAATTCTTTAAAATTGCACAATGTTCCTGAAAGTCCACATGTACCTGCTGCAAATTCTGCGTAGATTCCTGAGTAACCCTAGAATCACAATTTGGAACTAAAAGGAAGTGAGACCATGGATGTTCAGCACCACAGACAAATGATGCTTCATTACATCAAGTTCTGTCACGTCGATGCCATCCAAGAAGAAGGGTTATACTCAAATCAATTTGTCTTTTATCTGAGCACTTTTGTCACTCAGATTTTTTTGTACTTGAAAGCAGTGCCCCTGGGGCCCGACCAGCATTAGCATAAAGGCAGATATTGAGGGTTGGGGGCTCCATCATACCTGAGCCAATCCCGAGTGACAAGTACCTGCGTGTCCTTTAATGCATTTATCTGATGTGTTTGTAACAAAGGGACCTCCCTCAAGAGGTGAGCCCAGGGCAAATGTCTTTCTTCCCAAGGTTTCTTAAGGAAAAAAAAAATTATCCAAAATTATCTTCATTGAAGATAGGCCCCCTTTTTAAGGAGAAACATACACCTTTATATAGTCTGACCATTTATTAACAGTGTCTGCTAATAATTTAGTACTTTACCTCTTTAGTGACTTTGCCTATTTAATCTGCACGAAAGCATTCATGTCTGTCTTCAAATGCTGAAGACGTGACCCAACAAAAATGACCCAACCTCCCTCTGAGCTCTTCGTCCATGCCTTTGAATCAGTTCTGTGGTACTCACCACGGCTGGCCTCTGTTGTAGTTATCTGAGTATGTCACCTTTCCTCTACCATCCATGCAGTCAACAAACATTTACTTTGCACAAAACAAAGCTCATAATCTTATGGGGGACACAAAATCAATAAATATAAAAAATCAAAGAGCAGCCATTGCTGCAAAGAAAATAGGGCCAGTGAAAGCGATAGGAAGTTTCAGGGCTGGTGTGTCATCTGCAGGTGGCCGGGCAGGGCCTCGCGCGACAGCCACGTGGTGTAGGAGGGAAGGAAGCATAGGAATGACTGGGCGCAAAGCCATCCAGCTGGGGGCCTTTATAGGCTCCGAGAGAAGACATGCTCGGTAAACAGGTGTTTCTAGAGATGATTACATGATGCAGAAATGTCAGAAAGGGACCCAGGGGGAGAAGGGTCACTTGGGGCCTTAGAGGTCAAGGTAAAAAACAGACTGTAAGCCTGTTGAAGACAAGCGGCTTTGTCCAATCAATGCATTGGTCAGAGCGTCTTGTCGATGTCGGCAGCTAAGCAGGATCGGGCCTGGTTAGTACTTGAATGGGAGACCACCTAGGAAGACCAGGTGCTGTAGGCATAAAAAATAATAATAAAATAAGGGATTATAAACTGACAAGGTCCTTGCAATCTGTGAGGTCAACCGAGGATTGCCTCGCCTAAAAAATAAAGAAAGAAAGTTTCAATCTCTCTGATTCAACTGTTAAAACTTACCTGTGAATGTTGTTTTATTTGAGAATATGATGGAAAATTGGAAGGACAATTAAAATCTACATATTCAGCAGTTTAGTATAATGTAAATTGTAACAAAATAGTAACAGTCATTAATAATAATGCAAAGTCAGTAAGATCTTTGTGATAATCTTTGCTCTTTTTCCTCCTAGAATTTCCAAACTGTATTGCCACCAATCGATCTCTTCTCGAACTATGGAAAAATGTATTCAAAAGCTGGACAAATTTTATAAAGGTATGCATTTTTGCTAAGAAATGCTTCAAAACCATTTTAAGTAACAACTCAAATGAGAGTGACTTAACTGTCTAGCATTTTAAAAACCATGCAATAATAACCTTTATGCATAACCTTTCATTCTAGCCTAATGGTTTTCAACATTCAAACACATGGGCTTTGTTTTTCAAATCTCTTTTCTAAAATAGACTCTTTCTCTTTAAATCAATTAATACAATAGAAAAATAGTTTTACACAATCAAATGAAAAAAATATCGTCAGTGTCCAAAAGCTAAAACATTTCTCAATACTGTGTTGATACAGTATAGTTTAAAATACTGTATTCATTATGTGTGTTATTCCAAGTACGAGACCTCTTTAAGGGTTTCTGAATAAATAGTGTCTGGGGTCTCCGATTGCCAGCGTTTACACTATAGGGAAGAGCAAAGACCCACATAAAATTCGAGATCTCAGAATAAGCTAGCTCTCAATGAGTGTTACTGCTAAGGTGTTTAAAAACCGAGAAATGCTTATGACCAAAGTGAGGCATCTAGGAGATATTTTGGCATTTTCAGCCCAGTTAGAGGAGGCGTTGGATGAAGAGAGCACAGGTCACTACAGTTAACGGAAAAGAGGCAGAAATGAGCAAATCATGCTGGTTAGAATTCTCCAGGCATCCTCCACACCCCAGACCCAGGGGAAGCTAGCTCAGGTCCCTCGGAAGGGACACAGAAGCAGCTCGTGTTGTCTAGATTTAATGTCAGTCTCCTCTCCTTCACTTATTACTTCGGGTGCTTCGACGTGGAAGTCAGTATGTTAAACGCAGATACCGATATCTGTCTTTTAATGACTCCAAAGGAATGCACGAAGGGAAATATGAAATATTCTGAACTAATAGAAACACACATGTCTATAATGCTAGTGGAATTGCAGTTTCAAGGTTTATAAAGTATTATGACCCATTGGAGCATTTATCTAGTATTTGTAACTCATCATGTAAAGTAGTCTAGATAAAAAACTTTCATATTTGTGTGTGATTTTAAATAGGTTTTAATTCAAAGGTATATTCTGTTTACAATGGTGTCGAGGTTGAAAACAACGTGAGCGCTTGTTATATGCTAAGATAAATAAAGGAGAAAAGACGTACAAGGCAATATTACAAGGACGTTAAACAGGTTCACATAGATCTTCACCTATTAGCTATGAAAATACTCGAATGTCTTTCTAAGAAAAGAAGGCTGGATGCAAAAATCCCGCATAGCTTAAGTCTGTCAAAAAATCTCTGCGTGTGTGTGTACATACACACTGCATAATGTGTGCGCTTTTATAAAAAACACTTGCAGGTGCTTGTATAGTACGTGTATACGTATACATTTGCGGATTGTAAAAAATGTTCATGGTAGCTATTTCTGGGTAGTAAGATCATAGGTACCTTTTTGGGAGAAATATCTTTGTATCCCCATATTTTGAAATTTTTATCTCATCAGACAAAAGCAAGTGTCGAAACAAAATAATGCAATAGGGATTACTTGTTCTTCGCTACCAATTACGTAAACAGCTTGACTTTATTCTGTTCAATCATAATAATTTAGAGAGAATCATCTTCTTTTTCCTGAAGACAAAATAATCACTTGCTAAATTATTTATAAGAAAGACAAGGATGAGTAACAAATGTTTCACATTACTTTTAATTAAAAATCGCAGAATGTGCAGATAGGAATATGTGACAGGATTTTAAAAACATGCTTGCTAACTCTTCTCTTGGATCTTTCACTATTTTGCGAATCGAAAACATTATCGAATGCCCTTTCCTCAAAAGAAATTAATTTTGATAAGTAAAGGGTAGCAGCCTTAGCTGAGGCTCTCCTATTAAGATTTAATTTCACCAACTATGACAAAGTGCTGCTTTTTGTAAAAAAGGCCAAGATGCGGACACTTGCACCAAAGCATTGAATAAAGATGCCGTAGTAATTTTTAGAGCTATCTATTTGATTGCTTCGGCTTCAAGGTAGTTCATCACTTCACTATAATTCATGCGACTTTGCCTCTCAGAGCCATACTACGTTTTTCCATCAGTCCGATTAGAAATAGTGACGCCTTTATCAGATTAATCTTTCTTTCCCTTAGCATGTCTGAGTTTAGGATAAACAGAGCCTACCCCTACCCATTTTGATTAATCTACTAAGATTTTACCACTGAAACTGCTCAGAACGAATTAGATTTTACACACACACACACACACACACACACACACACACACGCACACACACTTTAAAATCTACTCTATGGCCGGGATAATATGACTCCTTTTCATTTCTTTAATTTTTCTTTGTAGCTGATCACTGTGGTAACCTTCGGTAGTTTCCCATAGACCGCTTTGCCTGCCCCAGAATATGCTATCCCCTGTCAGATGGCTTTGCTGTCTTTTTAGCTCCATTCATCCTTTGAGGCAGAAGAGTCTCTTTAAAGGGTAGAGGGGAGAAAAATTAGCAGGATGAGATGAAATCACTGGTTAGTCGGCATCAGCGTAGTTTGCTTGCACTGTGTGCTTCTCAGTTTTCTGTTTCTTCCTTGCAATGTGCTTTGGTCCAGGCTGTCTTCCTGTTGAAAATTTTTGAGGCCGGATGAGATGAGTTTTAATTGAATTATTTGTTGTGCATGAAAGACAGGGTACCTTTTCCTTTCTTCATTGGGATTTGGCATATGAATTACTCAGATAGCCAAGAAAAAACTAAAATGAAAAATACGTTTGGTTAGCACCTGAATTGGGAAAGGCATGAAATTCCATTGTCTCTTTTAGAGGAAATAAGGTCTTGGCCACTGTGTGAGGGACAAGGGGGTGCATGAGGGGAGCGGATAACCAGGCCTGTAAACTATAGATGTGCCCACTGGGAATTAACATTTTAACCCGACAAGAGAAATTGTTAGACCTTGTCATTCACCTTGGCACCGTGTGAACTTGGCACCTTTTCAGTTCCGTCATAGCGAATTGGCAAAACATAACAAAACAAAAATCTAGATATCTTTAGTATTTTTCTCTTGGTGAACTGGTCCGTGGAATAAAGATGATGTAACAATCCACGTGCCAATAGGAGGAGGTTCCACTCTAGAAGTTTCTCCGTGAGGGAGGCGGGTCGGCTGGGCACTGCGTCTCTGGCCGCACACGCGGTCGCAGTGGCGCAGACGGAGACCGGAGGACAGGGTCATTCCTGCAGGGCTAGGACGGGGCAGCCAGGGGTGTCGCCTCCCAGACTGTCCGCTGAGCCAGCTCTCAGGGAGGAAGATTCAAATAGAGAATTCGAGAACTTCTGTGTCGTTGGGTTCTTTTTTCTTTTCTCATTTTATCGTTTTGTTTTTAGAAAATATCTCCTTTTGTTTTACTGTTTTGTTTTTAGAAAATAAAAGAAGACAGAATGTAAAAATGAGGTTAAGGTGTGAAGTGACTGTGGAATAGAAGACCCCCCACTGCCTGGAACCCTGCTTCCACGGCTGGCTGAGTAACCTTGACACAAGTCAGTCAGTGTCTCTCTCTCTCTCTCTCTCTCTCTCTCTCTCTCTCATCTGTTCAAAGAAGAAATGGGAACCATTTCTGGTTTATTAAAAAGCTCTATAATTCTAGAAAGAAAATACAAATGAGGACTTAGGTCATACTTCTTATGATTCAATAAACTATAATATTTTACACCTGACGACTTTTATATAGTGTGTGAGTAGTGGGTCTTTTACTTCTGAGAATGTCACAACCACAGGCCCTGGTGACCAAAAGTGTCATAAATGGTTTCCCTGAAGCATCCAGATTCTGACCCTATCGCCTTAGTCAAGTGATGAGGCCAGCGCTGGATACTGAGTTAAGGGCAGCCAGCATATAAGCGGGAATGATGAACGGATGGCAGTATGAATGGTGTGGAGTGTTTTGCATTAAATGTTTGTCCCGAGGGTCATAGTAACTCATCAGAACAATTAGAAACCCCCTCAGTGCGTTGAACTTGAGACACACAGGCAGGGATCAGAGGACGTGGGAGCAGAAGCATAGGCACCTGGAGTAGAGAAGACATTTCTGGGTCTCCGCCGCAGAGGGCAACGCGGTCATCCGATCGCGGGGTTGTGCCCGGCTCGGCGTACTCACCTGTAAGTGGTTTCTGAAGGCGAAACAGGTGTCTGACTGGTGACACTGTAACTCAAGAGTACACCCTTTAATACTTTAGTAACTGTAGGCCATCTATTAGGTATTTTATAGATGCCACGTGCATATTTGTTGGTTCTGACCCCGTAAGACAATTAGCTGGAATTAGAAAGAGTCTGAACGTCGCCCTCTGAAGCTGTAGGATCGGGTCTTGTGACGCAGTCCGTAACCTGGCCCTCGTCAGTCCGATAGTCTCAACTAGAATGTCCGCAAGCAGGTAGCATGCGATGCATTACGATTTGTGAAGTTGTCTATGAAGACTCGTTTTTAAAACATCGCCAATGCTACTTTTTTTTTTTTTTAGAAAAAGCAAGCATTCATATAGAACCAAATTTGGTGAATAAGTATAGAAAATTCAAATAAAAAAGCAAATGCTTTTCTCAATAAAACAATCTTTATTGCGAGGAAGAATTGGCTGGCATTTGGGGGTAGGGGAAATAGAATTAAAAAGCACGTTATTGATTGTGACGTGTAAGAAGTCGAGTGGAAGGAGCTAGATCCGAAACAGAGCAGATGCCTTTGAAATGCTGTGCATTGAGTCGACCTCAGATGACAAAGTTCATGAAAGAAGAAAATCAAGGAGACACCCTGGGGTGTGGGGAGGATGTGACCCGGCCTCTCTCTAGGACGCTTCCCAGCTCGAGCGAGCCTATCCGCGCTCTTCCTTGGCTATTTTGTCTCTATTTCATAGGCCGTCTTATTTACAGTAATGTCATCGGCGATCCCTGTTCTGTATACTACTTAAGAGACTGGACTCGAATTCTAAGGCCACTGCCGGTGCTCACAATATTTGGGGAAATCATTCTTTTAAGGTAACTTTGGGCATTAGTTTATAAGCTACTGCATCACCTCAGTACTCCAAAGTTACCTGTCCTTGGAATTTCGGAAACAAAAGTAATCGTGAGGGGCATGTGACTTCTCTGCTCAGAAAATGTGAATTAGCCTGTGCCAGCTGCAATGTTCACGTGTAGTAATCTAAACACATCTATCCGGCACGTTCCCTCCCTTCCTCCCTCCCTCCCTCCCTCCCTCCCTCCCTTCCTTCCTTCCTTCCTTCTTCCTTCCTTCTCTTCTTCTTCCTGTTCTTCTAAGTTATATTAGTTCACCCAAGAGAAATAATTCCTACTCTTGGGAACTGCTTAGTATTTCATTGCTGAGAATGAGGTTTTATCTTCTCACTGAAACACACACACACACACACACACACACACACACACACACGCTGCTGATAGCTACAGAGGTGTCCAGATGAGTCAAAAATACCTTTGCATTGAAGAGAGAGATGGCCGAGATAAGGATTATTATTAGAGACTACAACTGGGGAAAGCAATAAGCTTGTTTCTTCTGAAAAACTATTTAACTACATTACCTTATATGCAAATTTTTTCTTACATTCTCCATGCGAACCACTCAAGAAAATTAGTGAGACCTAGTGTTTTACTAAAACTGGTAACTCTATTACCCATCTTATTCAACGAACTTGATTCTGAATAAATAGTGACCCGTTAAAAAGATCAAAAGCACCATGGATGCTTAAAGGCACATACCTTGAGAGCATTCAGAATGAGACCCCCCCCAGTTCTGAAATCAAAATAGTCAACAACTTTCTTATAGTTCATGAGGTAATGTCTTTCTTTCCTACTTACCTCTTATTTCTTTGAGGGCAAATACTGTCTCATGATAAATGCCCTCTGTCCAACGTCTAGCATGAAATAAGATATCTGTTGAATAAATGTTAAGGAAATTCCAAAAATTTTTCAAGTAATAAGAGCTATAGAATAACAGATAGCTGCCTAAGATAATGCCTATACATTCAGCATTGCTCATTTGAATGCACATACTGTGGAGTGTTATTTTTAACTAGTCTCATTAATTTGTAGCTGTGTTATATATGATTTTGGGGTATAGACTTAGATATACACTAAGTTGGTTGATCCTGAGATCAAGCTATGATTGCTGCTTGGGTAAAGTGTTCCCTTTGGTAAATAATCTTTCACTTCTATACGATTTTGAGTAATTATCCTTATTTACGCACTATGCTGTTGTGGTGGTAAAGTCAAGATTATATTCTTTTCTTATTTTTTTTTAAATTACAGTTAACAAACCACATTGTATTAGTTTTAGGTGTGTGACAAAGTGATTAGACATTTATATAGCTTACGAGGTGATCACCGCGATAAGTCTCGTGCCTGTCTGACACCACACATAGTCACTGCAATATTCTTGAATATATTCTCCATGCTGTACTCACAGCCCCATGACTGTTTTTATAACTGGCAATGTGCGTATCTTAATCCCGTCCCCTTTTTCACCCACCCCCCCAACTTCCCTCCAATCTGGCGACCGTAAAAACATTCTTCATATCTATGAGTTTGTTTCCGTTTTGTTTGTTCATATATTTTGTTTTTTAGATCTCACATATAAGTAAAATCATATAGGATTTGTCTTGATGTGTCTGATTATTTCCCTTAGCATACTTCCCTCTAGGTCCATCCATGTTGCTGTCGGTGGCAACATTTCATTCTTTTGATGGCTGAATAATATTCCACTGCACGTATGTACCACCTCTTCTTTATCTATTCATCTGTTGGTGGACACTTCGCTCGCTTCCATATCTTGGTATTGTAAATAATACTGCAGTGAACACAAGGACGCATATATCTTTTCGAATCAGCGTTTTGGGTTTCTTCAGATGAATACCCAGAAGTGGAATTGCTAGGTCATACAGTCGCTCCATTTTTAATTCTTTGAGAAAGCTCCATACTGTTTCCACAGTGGCTCCACCAGTGTGCAGCCCCGCGACAGGACACGAGGGTTGCCTTTTCTCCACATCCTCACCTGCCCTTGTTATTTTTTGTCTTTTTGATAACAGCCGTTCTGACTAGTGGGAGGGGATATCTCGTTGTGGTTTTAATTTGCATTTTCCTGAATGATCAGTGACGTCGAGCATCTTTTCATGTGCCTGGTGGCCGTCTGTATGTCCTCTCGGGAAAACCTATACTCAGATCCTCTGCCCATTTTTTAATAGGACTGTTTGTCTTTTTGCTCTTGAGTTGTATGAGTTCTTTATATATTTTGGACATTAACTGCTTATCAGATATATTGTTGGCAAACATTTTCTCTCATTCAGTAAGTTTTCTTTTCATTTTGTCGACGGTTTCCTTTGCTGTGCAGAAGCTGTTTAGTTCGATGTAGTCTCGGTTGTTTATTTTTGCTTTCGTTGCCTTCGCTTTTGGAGTCATATCCAGAAAGTCATTGCCCAGACTTAAATCAAGGAGCTTACCGACTATTTCTCATTCCAGGAGTTTTATGGTTTTAGATCTTACATAACAGTCTTAATCCATTTTCAGTTAATTTTTGTGTAGAGTGTAAAATAGTGGTCTAGTTTCATTCATTTACATGTGTCTGTTTAGTTTTCCCAACACCATTTATTGAAGAGACTGTCCTTTCCCCATTGTATATTCTTGGCTCCTTCGTCGTAAGTTAATTGACCGCATATGTGTGGGTTTATTTCTGGGCTCTCTAGTCTGTTAAATTAATGTATGTGTCTGTTTTTATGCCGATACCATATGTTTTGATTGTCATCTAGCTTTGAAATAGTTTGAAATCGGGGAGTGTAATATCTTCAACTTTGTTCTTCTTGCTCAAGATTACTTTGGCTATTTAATGCCTTTTGCAGTTCCGTACAAAATTTAGGATTATTTGTTCTAGTTCTATGAAAAATGCCATTGGTATTTTGATAGGGATTGCACTGAATCTGTAGATTGCTTTGGGTAATGGGTGAATTTTATGGTATGTTAATTATAGCCCAATGAAACTGTTTTTAAAAACACAGCGAGATACCAGTACACTCTCTTTATAAAAGCTAAAATTTTAAAAGAATGGCAGTCACAAGACATGGCACTACTGTAACTCTCATCCAGTAAGTTGGTGGGAATATAAATTGTTATAAAACCTTTGGAAATGTTTTTAGATATAGCCACAAAAACTTAACATGAGATATCCTATGATGCTGTACATCTCTCATATGTAGGCCTGAGAGAGATGCGTGTATATGTTCACTAAGAGACAAATGCAAAAATGTTGCAGAAACACTATTTTAGTAATGTCGGGAAACAACCGAAATTGGAAACAACCCAAATGGCTAGCAATAGTAGAACAAGAAACAGATTGTAGTGTAATCATAAGATAGAATACTGTTGGTTCACAACTAGCCCCATGCATGGATGTCAAGGAGAGACCAGAAAAAGAGGCAGCTCACCCCAGATTGGTAGGCGAAAACTTAAGAAGCAAGGGTACCTACTTACCACGAGACAGGTAGGTCTCTGCACCTGCCGCCAGAATCCTAAAGGTTTATTTGGAGACTTTAGCTGGGGTCCGTCGCGTACACCGTCCAGGTGGTCTGCGTAAGTCTCAGTGGCACCTTACTCTGTGGGGACGGTGGGCAGAAGGAGTATGAGGACAGGGAGCGGGTGAGGACCCTCTGACAGCCCGGGTCCAGCTCGC